CACAAGGCTGCTCTTCAGCCTGCACCACGTGCTGGCTCCTCAAAACTCTGCCCACACCAAAGGATCACCAATGGCCACCGCACCTCTACCATTGGGAAACATTCACGCTGCTTCCCACCTTTCCGTCACCTACTGTGTCCAGGACCCAAAAACACTTCTTGACAAGGCATGTCCATGAAAATCATCCAAGGACACATCTTACTCATCAGACACAATCCACACATGCTTTCGCATCATTCACTAAAACTTCTAGGCTGTTCCGTTACGAAAACAAACAGACAAAAACCAAGCAACGCTTACACAAATGGAATGACATTCATGACACGCGGGCACACAGGAAAATGTCTCTCAAATTCGGCCTCACATCGCACACAAACTTGCCCGTATTGACACTATCTGACCCTCTTTCTCTCCCCAATAGGAGCTTTTTCCGGGGCCCTTCGCAAGGTCTTCAAGGGCCCTAGGTGCTGGCACTTGGAGACCTCCACCCAACACTTAGCCTCACACCAGCACTCATCACTTCATCTGCACAACGTTGAATGACCTCTCTCAAATGGGAGGACTCTTCTTTTCCTTATTATTGAACCCAGCAAGCATGGACACAAGCCACACATACCAGGCTTCACATGTCAAACACCACTTTCTAGACAACATGGATGCTTCAGGGGGGCTCCACACGCTCCTCTTAGAAAGCCTTCAAACCTAAACAGGACACCTTCCTTCAGGATCACATGCCCCTCCTAAAACCACCTATCGCCACGCACATAGCTTAGGAACACGTGGGGGACAATGACAGCTTCCTTACTAACTTCAACAACACTTGCACACCAACATGCAAACTCAAAAACCACGGCCCCTCCACATTCACACCCACCTTGGCAATGCTCCAGACAACTTTCACATCCACAAGCTCCTTCGCCACTCTTAACAAACTCACAAGCTTCAAATACACACCCATGTTTCCACCCTTTCCTCGGCACTGAATTCACACCAAAACCCCACAAACACCAAAATCGGACCTAGCATCACAGCCCAAAGACGACTCACGGGGACATAGGGGGACACCTCAAACACAGCATTTCTACCACAGCCTTCACTCAACCTGCCCAATGCCACACACAAAATGGCTCAGGACACAACACACAGGACACACAGACGGGGTGCCTCTGCCTCCCGCCTCACAAACAAAACTCACACCAACAAACGGGACCCAAGCCTCAGCCGCCGCACCTAGGACCCCAACACTCCTCCAGGACACTATGGCACCTCCTGCATCACGCCTCACAAACAAAACTCACACCAACAAACGGGACCCAAGCCTCAGCCGCCGCACCTAGGACCCCAACACTCCTCCAGGACACTATGGCACCTCCCGCATCACGCCTCACAAACAAAACTCACACCAACAAACGGGACCCAAGCCTCAGCCGCCGCACCTAGGACCCCAACACTCCTCCAGGACACTATGGCACACAGCCAGCGCCCCACACAGCCAGCGCTCTAAACATGGAGCCATCAGGGCCATGGACCTTGCTTGCACCCACGTACCCAGGAAGGGCTGCAAAGGAAGCAGCTCATGGAAGTTTCTCTCTCATCCATGTGGACGACTCTCTACCCCACTCCCTTCCTCTAGGTGAAAAATCAACACAATATGCTTTTTAAAAAATCGGCAACTGCCAACCTCTCTCCACCCTCTTCTTCAAAGGCTGCAACACGGAAAAGGACAACAGGGATACGTACATCGATACATAAAGGAAATCTCAGTGTTTTCCAGATCTCAATGACCAACAATTCACAACATGAAAAACACAACATCAAAACCAGCCAAAAAACACACTCTGATGACCACAAACCAAGCATGGAGGTACAACAGGAAGACGAGGGCATGAGCACAGGCCCTGTCAGGCGACACATTCACAGACACATGGAAAAACCTCCAACAGGGGGGGAAAATGCCACACTTGCCATGTTCACGATCACACGGCTTCACTCCACAATTTTAGGACCATTCCTTGGCAAATCAAACGGAAGCTTCACTGGGACATTCAAGGAACACCTTCTGCCTCTGCCGGGATGCTCACCTGCCACCTAAGGCCATGGCACCCTCACCAAAAAACACAAACACATGGCAACCATGCTCTCCAGGGCAGCCATCATGACAGCCCTGCATGCATAAAACTTCAGCCTCTGGGTCTGCACCACTGCCCTCCCAACACTCACAACAGATTCCTCACACACTGCTGTACTCACATAGCCTGCAACTTGACAATACATCTTCCTTGCTATCTGTTTCAATGCACAGTGCTGACCACTTCTCACGGGCTGATGCTCGACCATTGACAAACACCCACCCGCTATGGCTTCTCTTCACTTTTACAAGGATCCATTTCAAAATGTTCCCACACACCCGGACTACAAATGCACATCTTCTCCTGCGCCTCTTTCCACCCCTTGCTACACGCCTTTGCCCATCCTAAAGGAAACTTTTAGATGCACAAACCCGTGCTGATTCATTCACCAACTTGCTCAAGCCAGCACACTTACAAAGCCAAACTCAGTAACTGGATGTCAAATAAACTCAGGAAACACAACACATCTTTCACCATCACAACATCGGGGCATACTACCTCTTCTTCTTTTCACTATGTTTGGGACATGGATGCTACAAAAAATGGCTACAATCGCTACATTGGCTCTTTCCGTCTCTAAAACAGTCATTCCCAATGGGCATACACCCCTTGGAATGGAAACATGGACAACAGCAGGACACTATTACGAAACTACCTCATCAGGAACATCCACAAGACCCCTTGTGTCTCTGTCTGTCCATGCTGCTGCCTGACAGAACTCCACGTGCAAACACCTGGGCCTGCTGCCAAACCAGGGGGAGCCAACTCCAAATGGACGACCAAGCTTTGCAGACCTCATGCTCTCTCATACACGTCCCTCTCACCCAGGACCTCATGCCACTCACTGGCCACTGACACAACAACAGCACCTTTGCAGGCTGGGCAACAAACGGAGGATCCACTCACCTGCTCTGAAACACAAACATCTCCTCCTTGCCACAATGTCCCCTCAAAAACATCATCACCCTCTCCACTCTCTTGGGCACTTCAGCATTCCCCACAACTGTCTTACAGCTGATCCCAGCACTCGCAAGTCTTCGCACCAGCTGCTTCTGGGGACGGTTTCTTTGCACATGGCAAAGGAAATGCCAGCAAGTGTCATGTGGAACACTCCTATGCACAGAGTCCTGGAAAAAACGATGCCATTGCCATGTCAACAATGGGAGCCTCTTTCCCTACAGTGATTGAGGACTTGGCAGGGGCGGGGGGGGCGGGGGGGCATGAACATCTCAGAACCAACCATTCAGCCACAGCTTCACACTCGCCTTTTCCAACATCGACCCAATCGTCACACAGAACCTCGGGAACAGGGGAAATCGGCCCCTTGGAATACTCTTGTCTGCGGGTCTCAGCTGACTCGGGAAGAGTCATGAGATCCTGTGCAAGAGGGATGTGTATCAGAGACCATCAGCTATGCAGATCTTGGTTCTTCATTTGGACTCAGCTCCCCCTGGTCTGGAAGCAGGTCCAAGTCTTTGAACCTGGATTTATCTCAGCAGCAGCCCAGACACACAGACAGACAGACAGACAGACAGACAGACAGAGACACAAGGGCTCTTGTCCAAGTTCCTGATCAGAAAGTTTGCTAATAGACTAATGCTCTTCTCCATATTTCAATTCTAAGGAGCGTATGCCCATTCGGAATGACTGTTTTAGACACAGAAAGACCCACTGTTGTGATTGTACCCATTTTTTCTAGCATCCATGTCCCAAACACAGTGAAAACAACAAAACCTAAGATGCCCCCATGTTCTGATCGTGAAAGATGTGTTGTGTTTCCTCACTTTATTTCACACACCGTGCAGGTGAATGGTGACGCAGAGATGAGATCGGCAAGCAGCATTCACTTTTAGAGAAGCAGAAGGCTACTGCTCGCTCTTGCAAATAGCAAAACCTCCAAAATTCTCATGGCTTTTATTGGGAGTTCAGCAAGTGACAATGATGAACAGGCATGCCTAGGACATCATGTGAGCTAAGTTATACATTAAAACAGGGGTCCTCAAACGACGGCCCACGGGCCACATGCGGCCAGCCGAAAACATTTATCCGGCCAGACGGGTGTTTTTGCCGCCGCTGCCTGTTGCTTAGCAGCCGACTCTCGTCCGGGGCCCACAGTGCACATGTGTGGAATCTGCGCCGCAATCTCCGACTCCCCTCCTTCTCTCTGTCTCTCGACTCCTCCTCTCAGTCTCCGGTGTGATCGGATGAGTCACAAGCTTGTCTGTGGAGAGCCTGCTGCAGCCTGAGGACCAAGGTAAGAACAAGTTAGGATTTTTTTTTTTGGAAGTTAGGAGGCATATATTTTTTTTATTTTGCAATTAGTAGGCCCTTTCTTTGAAGTTAGGAGAGCCCTTTTTTTTGAAGTTGGTTAGTTGGTTGGGGGTGGTTTCTAGGGGGGGTGCATCACAGTGATAACGCAAATTGTCAGTGCTCAGAGGTAATGCAAATGGTCAGAGCTCAGAGGTAATGCAAATACTCAGTGCTCAGTGGTAATGATGATTGTAAGTGCTCAGTGTTAATGCAAATGGTCAGTGCTCAGTGTTATCGCATGGGGGCCCTAACTGGTCATCTGCATAGGGCCCTATGGGAACTTCATCCGGCTCTGCAGACAGCCAAGGAGTACGAACCACAATTTAATTGACGGTAACTGCATTTATATTTTGATTGCTATTCAGTTGTGTATGATGTTGTATGTTGTGTGCTGTGTAAGCCCTGGTTCACACTGTTGCGATCTCTGAGCAGTGCGAGTTCAGCCATAGGCTTGTATGCCTGAACTTGCATTAGATTCGGAAGAAAAAAGGCAGACGTGCCTGCTTTTTTCCTGCAGCGGAATCTGATCGCATGGGTCTTCTCACCCATGCGATCAGATTCCTGTACGAGTTCACAGATCGCAGGGCGGTTCGCACAGGGTAGTGTGAACTGGAAAGGTGGTGGAGGAACCGGCTCTGTCATCGTGCCAGTTCCCGCACCGCACCCGTGTGAGCCTGAGGTAAAAGCGGAGTTCCGCCAATATGGGCACTGGTGACGCTGAAATGATGTGGACTTGGAAGGCTGCATGGATGCACACTGATCAGACTGCATTGATGGGCAGTGCAGTCTGTATGTCTCTGTGTGGGCAGTTAATGTTGTATACTGTTTTTATAGTGCTGTATATATATATTTTGGTATTTTACTAAAAGCAATTTGGAATCCCTAGGAAACAATGATGTCAAGAAAGAGAAAAATTGACTTGGAGTGTAGGATATTCAAACAACAGTGGACTTAGGATTACTTTTTCATGCAGTACAAGGAAACAGCTGCTGTATGTTTGAGATGCCAGAATAGAGTGTCTGTGTTCAAAGAATACAATTTGCGTCGACACTATCAAACTCAACATAAAGATAAATATGATTGTTTGGTCGCAGAAGTGAGAAAAGATAAAATGTTAAAACTGATATTCCCATTGAAATACTGGTAAGTTCGTTGATTTGACTTTACTTGTTCTTCATTTTAAATATTGTATTTGTTCACGTTATGCTTTTTTACTTCAAAATAAGATATGTGCAGTGTGCATAAGACTTTGTTCATAGTTTTTCTTAAAGCTATAGTACGGACCTCCAATGGTATGGGGGGCAGTGAACTGGCCCCCTGTTTAAAACCTTTGAGGACCCCTGCCTAACAACAATCATGCTGAAGCTACACAACCTGGACTTATGACAGACAATAGGAAAACCTCCTTCCGCTTTGGCCTTAGACCTTCACAGTGGAACAATACAATAGGAACCATACAATACAAATAACAAACTAGCCCTGATCATGGAACACACACACTAACCTTTACAATAGAATGTAAAAACATAGACAATACATAAGATTTAAATCAGCAGACCTAAATACAAAGGAGATTTTCACCAAAGGTCAGGTAAGAAACTGAAAACGCAAAACAAGAAACTTTAACAGGTCAAAGGAGGACCCAAAACGTACCGTGATGGAACGACGGACGCATGCTTATAGACTCAAATACTATAAACACACTTGTAACCGCGCAATAAACACAGAACCTGATGATGCTGATCAGCTCAGCGCTGTCTCCGTGCCCTTCATTCTTCACCTCTCCTGGCCACTGCGGCTTCCATGGTGTGTCTGGCCCTCAGTCTGTGTGTCCCTAGGTTTGTGTGTCCCTCGGTCACCGACACCAGCTCAGTCTGCTCCCATCTTCTCAGTGGGGGGGGGGGGGGGACTCTGGGAGCAGTGACACCACGGAGTAGACGGGAACACCTGCAGGAGCCTCTATCCATTTCCTGCCTCCTTCACACCTCACTTGCCCCTGCTCCTCCCGGCCTCACCCCCGGGAGCCTCTCCCCTGACATGGTGGCCTGGGAGACTCTTCAAGGAACCTGATAAAGTGGCCTCGTCCTGTTGTGTCAGGAACCTGGCAGCTGAGGGACGACACTCGAACATTTCATTTTTATCTTATACACACATCGCGTGGAAAAACATCAGCGGAGTTGAATGCTCTGCTCATCATGGTGCCTTTCTTGGTGCATATGGTGCTTTTTCACACCCTCCAACTCTTTTCCTTCTTTGTACTTTTTTCGTCTGTGTGTTTTGCTTAATTCTTTACAGAGGAGATGTTTTCACCATTCATTTTCTTAGAGAGCGTGGAAGGGAGGGAGCGGGAGGAGAGAGAGAAAAAAAAACAAGCAAACATGAGTATACAACAGACACATGCATCTTTGGCTCCCACAGGAGCCCAGACCGGGGCAGACGATGAAACATGCATCCCAGGTATGTGCTCTGGACCAGGAATCCTGCCAGCGACCCTTCCCTGGCCATCCGAACGTCTAACCGCCGAACAACACTGGCCAGGGCCTATTCCTTCCGCTTAGCACATGACAACACATGTCACTCTTTCTTCTTGCACAAGGAACGCAGCCAATCGACGATCATCACTCATTATTCATGCTTCTCTCTTCCTTTCAGAAATAGGAAAAATAAATATTGCTCAAGAACACACTGTAACCCTGACTGCTGTCGCTCAGTGGGTAGAGCGACGGCCTGCAAACTAAAAGGTCCCTAGTTCGATTGCCAATCAGGGCACATGCCCTGCTTGTGGGCTCGATCCCCAGTGGGGGGAGGGGTACAGGAGGAAGCTGATCCATGATTCTCTCTCATAATTGATATTTCCATTTCTCTCCCTCCCTCCCTCCCTCCCTCCCTCGCTCACTAAATAACTTCCTGCCTTCCTCTCCCTTCATCTCTGAAATCAATAAAAAATAGTTTTTAAAAATTCACTATATTTCCAAAAAAAACTTTACATGGAATTTTTTTCTCGTGGTAATAACACATTCCCACGATAACACTGCATCTGGAGGTACCATCAACAATCACAGCCTCCCTGCTACTGATGGCATCAATAATAGCAGCTACAGGGGAGGGACTGCCTCAGGAATGCCCACCTCGAAGCTACTCATTACATCCATGATTGCAGCCTCCAGGGGACTGGCTGCCTCAGTCAACGAGGCCTCTCCAGGGGCCGCTGAGTCGAGCGGGAATAATGCCTTCTCCCGATACCCCTGCACCTCGCTGCACACAATGGCTGTCTCCATAATGGGGTCATCCAAGGGACTGCCTGCCGCAATCACAACGGCCTCCGGCTGACTGGCTGCTTCAGGAAAGGTAAACTGTCCGATACTGGCTGCCTTGTTAATGGCGGCCTCCCCAGGACTGACTGCTTCAATCATAGCAGCCTCTAGGTTACACACTGACACAGTGAACGCACAGCTTCCCCGTGTCACTGCAGCAGCCAAGGCCTCCCTTTCCAGGGCTGGGACCGGAAAGGGTGCAAAATCCAGACCCATGACTTCAGTCCATCCAGGGAAAAAATAATGGCACCCTGGACAGCATCCATCATTTTCTACGATTTTCTGTGGTCTTTGTTGGTTGCTTTCTTTGTATTTTCGTAAAAATATTTTTATTGATTTTTTGACAGACAGGAAGGGAGAGGGATAGAGAGAGAAACATCCATCAGCTGCTTCCTGCACACCCTCTACTGGGGATGTGACCTCAACCAAGGTATATGCCCTTCACTGGAATCATCCGCCGGCTGATGCTCTAACCACTCAGTCAAAACAGTCAGGGCTGTTTGTGTTTTTTGGGGATACAAGTCTTCATCAAATTCAAAGAACATTAGCTAACATTTCAGCACCACGGACAGAGATGGAGGTGGTATTCTTTACAGGGCCACAAGAGGGCACCAGAGGATACTTTTCGCAAAGGAATTGGCTGACAGATTCTTTAAAGGTTTCGGTCATAAGTATATAAGTGCATAGATGGAATACTTATTAACCTGAACAACTGCGAAACAGTCCCCTAGAAACTGGTCACCAGGAACATAGTAACCAATAACCATTGGCCTAATAAATACTATCAAGCAACCTAGTAGCGAATAACTAGAAAATTAGTACCTAGTAACCTAATAACTGGCAACTAGGAAACTTTGGAACCTAGTGACCTGGAAACCATTACCTGCTAATTATTGACCTAAAACTAGTAAGTAGTCATCCTTAACCTAGTAGACTGGTTACCAGTACACCGGTAACTAGAAACCAGTAACCTCGTAACTAGCCACCAGTGACATCAGTAAAGGCGACCGGTCCATCCTCGCTGCATCATTCTTGGAGGACAGGCAGTACAAGCGGCCTAGAGGGTAATAAATGCCTCCACAACCGCAAACCCCCCCAAAGTCCCCTGCACTCCAGAGACATTATGACCACGCTGTACCAACTTCCTGCGGACTCCAGGGTACACAGACGGCGGCATAAACCATACTCCCTGCTTCAATATACGCCGCTGCAGCCCGCGGGCTGCCTCAGTAAGCGCCACCTGCCCCGTACGGGCCGCCTCGGTTCCGGAAGCAATGCCGTACGGACGGACTCAGTCATGGCGGACTTTAATGTATGCTGCACCTACGTAACGGCGTACTCTCGCGACGTCGCCCGGTCTCGCGGTACTTCACACCCAAGCTGTACGGACTTCCGGCCTCAGCAATGGCGGCTTCCGGCCCGGCCCTGCCTCACTCATGGCGGCCGCCACCGGACGGAAAGGCCGCACTCATAGCGGACTCCAGGGTACACG